GCATCGGTGACCTTCTGTCTTCACATCGGCTAGTCTTCAATTTTGCCAATGGCTTAAGTATGTACCAAGACACCAATATACAAAGAACCAATAACTACTAAGTGTTGCTAAKGTAGAGGAACATATCAATGGGTCATCACCAAATCAATAGGTGACCCAACAAAATACCACATATCATATTCATAAACCAATATTAAATCAATAACAGGACAATATATGGTATGACTGTATCTATATGAATATCCATTTTCAGTTGATATAAGGAAACTCACCTGATATGAAACGTGATATGACAAACTTTAAATGGCTCGAGATATCAACACTGAATACTTAAGCTTGATTAGATAGGATAATGATTACAACCTAGGTGATTAGACCCTTTCCCTATCTCTAAACATAACATAAGAACTTCATACGATACCCTAAAATACCCAAAAACATCACAAAAGAAAACCCATAAAATGAACCACAGAGCCTTGCGCGACCTAGCTTGCGACTATAGGTTGTAGGGCTAGTCGTACGACTCTCTGTAGTCTATGGTTCAACCATGTTTTTGCCCAGTTTGACCATGTTGCCAAAAACCAAACTGAATTCATCATTTTACCGATTACCAACCAAACTACAACATAATGATCATCAAGGAACAATTGGCTCTAAAATATTAGCATCCTAATCCTTTATGATCACTAAAGTCAATGGGTAATTCCCATCAATTACAAGGAATTATCAAACCAGCAAAACTAAAGGTAACATTCCTTTGATACCTACAAGAGGAAAATCTCTAACCAAAATCTTCAGGTTCTTTCACCCCTTTTCCTAGCTGCATTATTCTTCAAAAATCCTTTCTCTCTCACACACACACATATGCTAAAAAAAACCAATTCACAGGGTCTGGAAATAAGGCGAAGAAAAATCATTTCTCTATAAGTAAACTCAAAATTTAAACTAAAGGCTCATAGAATACTCATTTACCAAACCCCCTCTTGACTCTTTAGGTGCCATTTACTAAATGTTTACCCGAGTAAGCACTTACCGAGTCAGATTACCTTATCGGATGAATATGACAATGGTCAAGAATCTTACATGGTAAGAACGAATGCAAAGACCGATAGTCTTACCCAGTAAGTGAAGATGACGACTCTTACCACAGTTAGATACGATGCCGTTTTGATGGACTAAAATCTTATCAGGTAAGCAAGTGATACTGTTGGATTTTACAGATAAACGCTTACCATGTAAGTGTTTTGGTAAACCACCACTTACTCTTTTATCTATACTTCACGACTTAGGGGGTGTTTGATTAGAGGTATTAAGCAGTAATCAATGAGAATTGAAATAAAATAAACTGTTTGGTATTATATAATATAATGAGCTTATTCCATTAGAAAATTTAATGAGTTTTCATTTAAAAAAATAATTTCGAAACTTAATGATTTAAACTCGAATATTTATTGGATTTTTCTAAACTTTTCCCCAAAGTAACCAATTTTATATTTCTAAATTATCATCATATTTTTAATTAATAACATTCATTAAATCAAACTTATCTAATAGTCGACAAATATCTTATATTTTCAACCTCTTTAACGTTTTTATCATCAAATTATATAATTATTCAATAGATTTTTTATTTAATCTGGTACGTTATTTGTTTTAACAAATTATGTAAAATTTACTAATTTAATTATTACACAACTTTATGAGAGTAACTTTATTTATCGCATCAACAAGAGGATCACTTCACCCTTATGCTTCCAACTACCTAGCATGTACACTCTTGACTTGGCATTCAACTATTTTCCGTTGGAAACTCCAAGTTTTCATCAGATTTGTTCTTGACTTGACATATGACTATGTTCCATGTTATCATTTGTTCTTGACTTGACATACGACTATTTGTGTACTTAGATTTGCAAAAGACATAGAAACCTTAAAAAACAATTCCTAACATGATAATATGTAAAACATAACAATATGTACCGGCAAATAAGACACCCAAACTAATGTGTTGACAGTCACATTTTTGAACTATCATACCCAAAACCACTACCATGTAACATATCATGTACGATTTGCCAAAAAAAATTCATGGTTTTGATTTTGGACTCAACGTGTGGTTTAGCTAACATCTTAGAATCATAAAGTGGAACTTCCAATACTTGTTTAAAATATTGCAAGTACCCGGATTCAAAAGCCATTATCAGCTTTATATCTTCCAATATTTACCATATTCACTAATGCATCCACAAGTTTTCTGTCTTCAATTTTTTGTCCAATTTCGATACTTCCGACCATTATTTTTATTTGCCATACCTAACATTAAAGATCAAATAGTACCATTGAAATCAATAACGAACAAATTGTACCATTAAAATTAATAACGATCAAATTGTACAATTACAAACCATGTAACATAAACAGTAAGCATGTAGCAAAACAAATTTATAGCACAAAACATATTCATAGCAAAGAAAAATATAGCACAAAACAGATTTATGGCAAAACATACTCATAGCAAAAAACAGATTTATAGACCAAAGTATATTCATAGCAAAACGGATTTGTAAACATATGATGTTTTCGAGTAGACAAAAATTAAGCAGCAACATCCCTTAATCATCTACCGTTTTCGAGTAGACAGAAATTGAGCATAAACCTATTTCTAAACAGAAATCGAGCATAAACCTTAACCATATGATGTTTTCGAGTAGAAACCGAGCAAAAATCAAGCATATGGTTAAGGATAATGTCGCAATGAAGAAGACGAGAAATCTATGTAGAAACAATGAAGAAATAAAACCTGTGAGTAATCGAACTTGTGAGAAATCAATGCATTGCAGAAAACAACATATAAGAGCTTCATGGACCGATCAACAATGAGAAAGGGATGGTGTCGGCTCTTGAGAATAGGATGTTCCAAGTGACTTGGAAGTTGTCTAGTGAAGCCTTGCGTGATGCACGCCATGGTATGCAAGATGAACCTGAATGGCCAAGTGACTTGCATGAGTTGTATGTGAAGTAGCCTTCGACCATTGTTAGGCGTGACGTTAAATAATTCACTTATTAACGTGAGTTCAATTAGTATTAGAGTTCACTAGTATGTTTGGACATTTAACGAGAATGTTGTGTGTATGCAGGTGTTATTTCAAGCGAGTTCATCAACCGTACGTGATCAAAACAAGTTGCTTGCATGAACTTAATGTGTATGTTTATCAACAAATACATACAACATTCTCATCAAATTCTAATATTTTTAATGCCATCATATATGTCTTATATTAATACGTATATTTCTTTTCCATATTCATTGAATAAAAGAGTTTGTGATGATTAAATAAGAAAAAATCAAAAGGAGATCAAGAAAATAAATACAAAGAGGATTAAAAATCCCCTTGTGGCCACGAATGTTCAAATGCTTTGACTCTGAATTATCTGCAAAGCAGGTGGTTGTCCTCGAATTAGTCAGCTCGCATAGCGAGTTGAATATCCAGGTTAATATAAAAACAATATTATAAATGATTTAAAATGATTTCTTTTTATCATTCATCCGTAACTATTATCTTAACAAATAGAATATGGATTATTACTTGTATCATTGTCCGTTATAAATGGACAGGGCAACAATGATAGATATATCCACATGAGATGAAATATAACATAAAGACAATACTCAAAGTTAAAAGGGTATTATCGGAGACGTTCGTTAACGAAATAATTGAAACCGAAGGTGATGAAAGAAACGTAACTCGGAAAAATTTGGGTGTTAATTACATATAGAGAGAGAGGAGAGTACAAGTACACACTTAAAGAGCGAGAAAAAAGCAGATTGTCAGCATTGGCGTGCATAACATAGCAGATTGGGCTCTCGGAGACTACATCTTAATCACTACAGACCACGACCCAAACCAGTGAAAACCCAACACAATATCAAAACAAAAACATTACAACCTGAAAGAGTGTTTCATCTTTTCTCTTTAATCCCAGAAAGGATCCTCTCCTAATTAGGGTTTACAGTTTAAAGAAAAGGGCAAAGATTCTGAAGAAAGAAAGATAGTAGTGGTTCTGTGGGATTCTTTACAGAACTGGGTAAGCACTTGAGCAGGCACAGAGGTTGGCTTTTAGTGTAAAATGGTTTCTGCTTTTGAGTGGACACAGAATATGGAGAACAGCTTGTCTTCTTCTAATGGGTGTCTGTCTGTGTGTTTTCTTTGGGTGGTGGGGATAGGGGTGTCTCTTTTTTGCATGCTTTGTTGTTTTATGTAAATACAATAATACCCCAAATCTTCCATTTTTGTTTCTCTCAAAAACTGTTCATCTTCTTCTGCAAAGAACTTGCTTCAATCAGCTGATTCATATATGAATATTGTATGTAAAGATGCTGTTTTGGCACCATTTTGAGGTGGGTTTACCATTACAAGTTGATGCAATCAAAAATAGTTATGGGGTTTTGAAGTGGATACATGAAGAGTGGCTTTTGGGGGTTTTGTCTCTTGATTCTTAATTTCTAGTGGGATACATGCAAGATTATTTATTTGATTCTGCTTAGTAAGCATCATTACATATGGGTTAGTTGTTAATTAACTGATTTTGTGATCTCTTGCTTCCCAATTTTCTATTATTTTATTGCTTTTTTCTTGTACAAAAACAGAGCAAGAGATGCTTGTTGTCTGCTGTTCCAATGGCCTTATTGCAACTGATTTCAAGATGCTGTTTTCTCTCTGTTTTGCAGGGTTTTCTCAATCTTCAACGGTAATTAAACAGTTTCGGTTCCTTTAATTCAGGCTTGAAAATTGAAGTTACAAGGCTTTGTTTTGATTTATTTTTTAAAGATTTTTGAAACAGACAAGATAAAGCAGAGTGTGCTTGTTTTTAGAGAGAGATTAGACAAAAATAGGAGGGGAGGTGGATGGGTGGAGTCAGATTTGTGCTTGTGGGGGTGTCCTTTTCTCTTTTTCATTTCTCTCTCTCTCTGAAATCTCTCTCTCTCTCTACTGGTTTTCTAGAGAGAGAAAGAATAGTTTAGTGAGGAGTGTGTGTTACTGTTGGGTTTGTCTCCTGGGCTACCGGGTTCGCCCGGAGTCCGTGGGCTTTGCCGCTGAACCAGGACACCCCTCTTTTATCCCTTTTTCTCTCTTCTTCTTCTCCATCTCGAAGTGATCAAGAAATCCATCCCCCATCTTTCTCTCTCTTCTGCTGCTCTTAAAGATTCTCTTAAAGAAATATATATATATATATATATATATATATATATATATCATCACCCTCTACTCAGATCTTCTTTCTTCTTTGAAAAAAAATATCATCAAGAAATCTTGAAAACCCCCCACAAAAGTTCCATCAGGAAGCCTTGAAAAACTCCCACAAAGTTTGATCAAGAAATCTTGAAACAAAATCCCCAACTTGAATTTGCTTTTCTTTTTCATTTCTAGGGTTCCATGGTGTTAAAAATTTGGTACGTAGATGATTTCCACTTGCTTTGAGCTGAAAACAAGGTGAACGGTTTTGGAAGAGAAGGTAGCTAGGGTTTCAGAAGCTGCTTTGAGGATGAAGTTCATGAAACTCGGATCCAAACCCGATTCGTTTCAGACTGACGACAACAATGTTTGGTAACTTTCCATTGCCAATGCATCTTATATCGCTTTCCGTTATTCATCTTGTTTGATTCATAACCATATTCATGAAACTCTGTTAGTAATCTTCGGTTTTACTGTTCAATAATGGCATCCATGGATGATTATTCCGTTGGTTATTAAGATTGATTTCTTCATCATCGTCGTCATCGTATCGATTACAGTAGATTTTGATAATAAGAGGATCCCCTAATTTAAGAACCATAGAATTAGAACACTTTTTGTTCGAATATAATTCTATTTACTTTCTGTGTTCATCCCTTTATGGATGGATATACAGTTAGAAGTTCAATATGAAATCATCGAGTTACCGATTATGTTCCACCGACTCGGCATTAATTGTACGTATACAGGTACGTGGCTTCGGAATTGGCAACCGACATCATCATCAATGTAGGAGATGTGAAGTTCTATCTGCATAAGGTAAAACAGGCCCGATTGCAAACTATTAACTACGATAGCTGACAATTGAACTTTTGACTGATTATTGATCGATTTTGCAGTTCCCATTGTTGTCGAAGAGTGCTCGTTTACAGAAGTTAGTAGCGAGCACTAGCGAAGGAAACAACGGGGATGAAATCGACATTCACGACATTCCTGGCGGTCCTGCTGCTTTCGAAATATGTGCCAAGTTCTGTTACGGCATGATGGTAACCTTAAATGCTTACAATGTCGTCACTGCTCGTTGTGCTGCAGAATATCTCGAGATGCACGAAACAATGGAGAAAGGGAATCTCATTTACAAGATCGATGTTTTCCTCAGCTCGAGCATTTTCAGAAGCTGGAAGGATTCGATCATTGTGCTTCAAACCATGAAATCTATGATGATGTTATCCGAGGAACTGAAGCTGGTCAGCCATTGCATCGACTCCATAGCTTCAAAGGTCTCTGTTGATGTTTCAAAGGTCGATTGGTCATATACTTACAATCGTAAGAAGCTACCGGAAGAAAGCGATAGCCACATAATGAACGGCAGTCTTAGAAGCATGACGGTGCCATCTGATTGGTGGGTCGAGGACCTGGCTGAGCTCGAGCTCGATTTATACAAACGGGTTCTTGTGAATATAAAAAACAAGGGTTTAGTACATGATGAAGTGATCGGAGAAGCTTTAAAAGCTTTTGCTTCGAGAAGATTGCCGGGGTTTAACAAAGGCGTGATACACAGTGGTGATGTGTTGAAAACAAGATCGATAGTCGAAACAGTCGTGTGCCTTTTGCCGGCCGAGAAAGGCAGCATTTCGTGTGGTTTCTTGCTAAAGCTGTTGAAAATGGCTATTTTGGTGGATTCAGGGGAAGTTGTGAAGATGGATTTAGTGAAAAAGATTGGTCGTCAACTCGAGGAGGCTTCGGTGCATGATCTTTTGATTCGAGCCAGAGAAGGTGAGCCCACGATCCATGACGTGAAAACGGTTCAGAAAATAGTAGAGGAGTTTATGGTTCGAGATCAGGATCGAAATGGTGTGTTTGAAGCCGAGGGAAATGAGATTCAAGAAGTGAGGAGGTCAACAGGAGGGATATTATCGGAAGCTTCAAAGTTGATGGTCGCTAAACTTGTTGATTCGTATCTTGCTGAGATCGCAAAGGATCCGAACCTACCTCTATCAATGTTCGTCGATCTTGCCGAGACGGTCTCCGTCTTTTCAAGACCAGCACATGATGGGATGTATCGAGCCATAGATATGTATCTCAAGGTAAAAATACTTCCTCTTTGTCACAATATGCTTTTAAGGATGTCTTTACAACAAAATTGGCTTGATATGACATCAAATGTCTTAAATGTTACGAGTTTTTTTAGAACACTTTTAAAATAAAACGTCTTATACGACATTATTTGAAAAATTGTCCTATAAAAACAGGTGCCTGTTAAACGATGCATATTTAGGACACATTACAAGAGGGTCCTATAAAAAAGCTAATAAGACATGCAAGTAACAATTGTTTGATCCTTTAAAATTAAGACTTATAAAGCAGTCTATTTAACATATTTGCCGTCTTATACAGCAAATATTGTTGTTGTGTTAGTTTATGGTTTTGTAAAGGGAATGGTTTTTGGTACAGGCACACCCTGGGATCAGCAAGAGCGAGAGGAAGAGAATATGCAGGCTGATGGACTGCAAGAAGCTGTCGGTGGAGGCATGCATGCACGCGGTTCAAAACGAGCGGCTGCCGCTGCGTGTAGTGGTGCAAGTCCTCTTCTTTGAGCAGGTTCGAGCCGCGGCTTCCTCCGGCAGCAGCACCCCCGACCTGCCGAAAGCAATCAAGGACCTGAACAGCGGGAGTTCAAGGTCAACCACAACCAACACAGAAGAAGATTGGGATGCAGTTGCAACGGCTGAAGAACTGAGGGCGTTAAGGGGGGAGCTGGCGTCCCTGAGACTGGAGAAGAACAACGGTGGACATGCCAAGAGCCCGTTAGCGGACAGGAGTTCGGTTCAGAAAGTGACAAAGAGAATCTTCACGAAAATCTGGTCGAGCAAAAGTGGGAATGGGGAGAATAGTGGGTCGGATTCTTCGGGGAGTCTTGGGTCGGGGAATCGGGATGAAGTGAAAGTGGGAACGGGATCGACTCCTTCGAGAAAAGGGCGGCATTCGGTGTCTTGAAGGTCTGATTTTTGTGTTGGTTAAGGTAGGAGGATGTAGGGATAAATGGGGAAGAAGATGAACTGTAACTAGTTGAAAGAGCTAGTAGCTGCTATATGTTATGATATGATGTATGATGGTTTATGGGTTATCTCTCCACTAAATATATAAGTATAATGGAGTAGCATGTTTCTGTTAAATCCTTTTTTGAAACAATAAGAGCAACGAGCGGTTTATCAAACATTTATCCGGTAAGTGCTTACCAACAAAAATTAATACCATTATTTACTTATCGGGTAAGATTTTAGTGCATCAAAACGGCATCGTATGCAATAATTTATCCGGTAAGCACTTATCGTGGTAAGAGTAGTTGTCCTCACTTACCGGGTCAAATCTAAAGCAAACCAGGTTTAATACCACACAATCCAAAAGTTTGTCGTTCTTTGAACACCACACAACCATAAAATACCAACTTAGACGGTTGGATGAGGGTTCGATTTTCGACTTTAGAATCAAAATATATCGCAATATTGAATTCCATAAGTAGATGCACTTACCATACATTATGATATGTGAAATAGTATCTTGTCCAAAATAATTGCATATATGTTTTCAAAAATCGTGTTGCATGCACCGTTACTCATAATCCTTGTTAGCGTAATAAATTAGTAAATAATAAAACTAGAAGGGTACTCACACAATATAGTGACATACATCTCGATTTTAATGTTTCGTTTTATTTATTTTTGTCTCAGTCGATGTTATAATACGGTTTTAAGTGGTTTTGAAAAAAATGATAATGTTTTAATTTTTGAATAAAAAAGAAATATGAAGATATCATAAAATTTTGAAAAAAAAAATGATGATATTAGTACCAAACTAACTATTTAATTTTTTTTTTTGTATATTTCTTTAATTCATTCTTTTATTTTTGATTTAATAAAATAATTTTTTATAAAAATAATAATTAAGTATTTTTTTTAGAACTCAACGATTATCTTAATTATATTTTAGATTTTTTATATTTAAAATGAGATGTTTATCCTCTATTTGATTATGTTTATCTGTAGTTAGTTATAGGGGTGCTCATGGGTTGAGTTGATTGAGTTGAGGATATTTGAACAACCCAACCCAATTCTTTGCGGTTTGGAAAATCTTAACCCAACCCAAACCAAAGTGCAACCCAACCCAACCCGTACGGGTTGGTCGGGTTGATACTTTGGTATATTAAAATATTCTTCTAATCTTGAATATGTTATTTCTCTACTCATAATTTCTTTTTCATCATCAACCATTTGATACAACTTATCCATATTTCTTACGTATATCACATTCAGTTAATTTTCTTAATTTACATATATATGTTCACAGTTACTGAATGAGTTATATAGAGATATGAATAGATTGAAAATGTGTATATGAAAAGCATACATGATAGTGTAATTGTCTAATGTATATATTAATAGAAATTCAACAATCATATTAAATCCAATAAATAAAAGGATATCGGGTTCATCGGATTGGGTTGGGTTCAAATAATAGTAACCCAATATCAACCCAATACCTACGGTTTGACAATTTTACAACTCGATTAAACATCGGGTTGTTTCAGGTTGAGTTATTTTGCGTTGGGTTGGGTTGGGTTGATCGAGTTGGTCTGGTTTTTGAGCACCCTAGATAGTTACACGATTTCAAATATGAAACTTTAGTAAGTTGTACTCATGCACAATTTACTTGTAATATTGATTTTTAAGTAATGCATCAATAAACAGTACTTTATGCATAAAAAATGGTTTTTAAGAATTTTTTTTAAATGTTTTATAATATAGTATAGATAACATGTTCCCTATCTTGAAACAAACAAATTAATGAAACATGAGTTTTCAAAGATTAAAACAAAAAAACCATGAAAAGACCAAATCTTAAAAATTATCGTCAAACATTCAAATGTTTAAAAAATAAAACGTATTTTGTTTTAATTTGTTTATTTATTAATAGACTTGGGATTTTGTGAGACCAACCTATTTTTATGAAACCATATAGATATACTGAACTTTTATAATGTTTTTGTTGTGAAGGTAACACCTGTTTATTACACATTTACAATGTTTTGTTGTGAATATTTGGTATTATTTTATGATCTTAGGAAAAGAGACTACTGAACCTGATCCATTATTGGTGATTACGGTTTAGGGGCTGTTTACCCAAATACTTACTCGGTAAGTGCTTACCAGTATAAAACAACATTATAATTTATGTTTATCGATAAGATTGTAGTACATCAAAACAATATCTTATGCAACAATTTACCCGGTAAGCGCTTATCCGGGTAGGAGTCGTCACCCTCATTTACCGGGTAAGACTTTCCATCATAATTATCGCTCTTACCATGTAAGATTCTTGGTCCTTGCTATGTTGATCTGGGGAGGAAAGTTATCCGGTAAGCACTTACCCGATAAGCGTTTAGTAAACGGCTCCTTAGATAAAGTTTTATTTATCTCTCTAGAAAAAAACAAAATTAATCACATAGCATTTATCTCAAAAATTGCAAGAAATTTTGTATCTTCATCGATGATCTCAGGGAACCCAACTTAACAACTTTACATATTCTAAGTTTAAATTTTATTCGGGAAATTTTTGGAGATAAGTTTCTTCGATTAATTCTCATCAAAAACATGTTTAAGCCTGTTGACATTTTCACCAAACCTCTTTTCAGGGACGGATCCAGATTTTTTTTTTCAAAATGGTGGTACCATTTAACCATAAGAAAAAAATATAGGAAATTTTTATAAAATAATGGCACTGTTTGACTATAAGAAACAAATACACAAATTTTTTTTTTTCAAACGGTGGCACCATTTGACTAAGAAAATAACATTAATATGATTAGAATTTGGGTCTGGGGTGGAATAAAAGCCTTGCAAACCAACTCTACCAAATAAAACTTGTTCTTATTGTAGTTTCAAAATACATACAGTACACACAACAAATTAATACGGTTGCACCGTTTACGAAACCTATTTTTTTATCCTTCGACGAAGAAATAATAAGATGGCACGTGCCACCTATACTACATAAATGGGTTCGTCCATGCCTCCTTCATGAACCATGTTACAGTTTATTATTTCCAAGATGGCACTGAAGAATATTCATTCTCCATGCACATCTTGAGGGGGACCATTACAAATATTATGTGAATGGTTTATGTACCCATTTATCTAAATTAGGTGGTTTAAGGGTTAATTTGTTAGAGGGTGTTATAGCAATTTCTTCTGTTCTAATATTTATAAGTTCTTGTATTTGCCTTTCTTCTTAATTGAGAAAACACAATTTTTCTTTCAATTAATGATATGAGAGTTACACAAAATGATAAAATTACTTAATTACCCTTGTCATTAATATATGAGATGTATGTGAATCTAAAGAAAAGATGGATTTTCATTGGTCGGGATTGGTTAACAAAGTTAACACAATAATTTTGGTTAACATTTAAACCAAATTCTCTCTCTCTCTCTCTCTCTCTCTATATATATATATATATATATATATATATATATATATATAT